AAGTCCAAAACCAGCAATTTGAGCATTACCATCCGATAATAGTATATTTCCAGGATGAAGATCACAATGCACAAATTCCTCTTCGTGAATTGTACGCAGCCCATCGACAATATCAATTAAATATTTTAATTTTGTTTGCCATGTCAATTTTTCGTAGTTGGAGTTAAAATACTGGTGGAGATCACCACCTGCATAATCCATCACTACGTATTGAGTATTCTGTTGTAGCTGGGTTTTTAGTTATTCCATAATAATTAATATAATTATTATATGTTACAAGATAGCTTGTAATTAATCTTGATTAACCATTTGCAAGTTTTATCATTCTTATATATAATTAGTTTTTTTGTCATTTTTTGTAATATTCTTTTGATATTATCAATTGATTATATTTATATATTTTCAATAAGCTCACTAAATTTAGAATTGTGAAAGTAAATGAATTAATTGCTACTTTGTTAGAATCTATATGCATTGATATTTTTAGATACTGTAAATACATTATCTGATAAATTCGATGAAAGACACTTTTTAAATCACTGACTGTTTTTAATTGCCCACTTGAATGCGCTATGAAATAACTCAGGTTATCCAGTAATTGATATTCTCATGTGGCAAAATTAGTATAGGTTGCAATCCACATTTTTGAATCTTTTATCCATATTTAAATATATAACTCTGCCTAACTGCATTCAAAGACTGCGGGATCTGTTTTTCAAATGCTGTAAAATGTAAAATCTCAACCTCTTTTTTGAATGCCTCATAATTATCATCACTCTCAAAAAGTTTGTGACAATTGGTTTTCAAGTTTTGTTCCAGAAAATGCCAAATGCACAATATCTTATCTAATGCCTGGTCTCTGTCAGACATAAAGACATATGGCAGACAATTATAGAAATTATAAATTTTAATGTGAAATGTTCGCAGAAACCACATGTATGATGTCTCACTTTCATCTTCTATCCAGGCCATTGCAATTTAATAAGACGCCAATACTCCTTTCTCATTACTGATATTATTAATACCAACGACACTGACAAGAGGGTACTTATAAACATTAGTCCTGTATGTAGAATCTACAATGAGAATTTCAGGATATCTGACAATGCATTTAGCTGCTTCAGTATAAAAAAGAAAAATGTGTCAAGTATCTCTTCACTGTTTTCAAAAATACAGCTATGTAATTGTGCTATTCAAGTTTTAGAGTAGAGTTATTATTGGAACCCTCATTCTAATACAGGCACGTTCGTTTACAATGTCTTTTGGGTGAATGATTCCGCCATTAATGATCTTGTTAACAGCTGCTGTAATAATACGAGTAGGTGCATTACTATCAGCTATTATACAAGATTTTTTTAACTTAAGCTCATGATGCGATATTGAGGAAAAGTTGCAACTTCATCCAATTCAGGCATAGAGTAATCATGCTCAAGTACAGCCTTTGTAACGATCCACATTATCTTAGTATACAGATATTCGTAGTCAAGTGACATTTTGTTGCAGTAGTTCTAAATATACCGGGCAGCCATCACGTCTGGTATTTCTCTTTCTTTTTCAGGTTTCCTCAGTTATATTCCAGTTTTTGCGCCATTTTCTACCTTTAATGCATTGCAAAACAACGAAAGGTGATTTGCCTTTGCGTCCAGTAAGATAGCTGTTTTTTCTTGAGAAAGCGAACCCATTAGCTTTAGCAGCATCTTCAAAGGCTTTTAAGGATTCAAACTTATCATTCACTTTGGGCATGATAGGTTCCGTCATTGTTGTTCGAATTAGATGTAATGAGCCAGTAAATTTTAATCAAAATCGATAGAGTCCTGTGTATTGTTATATTAGCAGGTAAGTCACATATAAAGAGGCTCGATACGTGATTTTACAAATATTAACAAATGATAAGCGTTGTTATCCGGTGGATTGTTATAGGTAATGTGTCGCATAATCTGGAGATTACTTGAATTTCGTGGGTATTCAGGTAACGCTTGGACAGGTAGGTATAATTTTTTTTAGTAAAAGGACTTCATTTTATTTAAATCACGATTTGTACATAGAATAACATTATTTAATTATTAACTATTTAATTAATAAAGAATCTTTATTTAAATCCTTTTTTTTATACTGATTAATGATGAATCACTATACAAACAATCATCTTACAATTGATGATTTTTGCTTATTTTTTCTTTAAACTACTCCACACAAACATAACAACCACAGGAAACATTTTTGTGTTATTTTGCCCGTTCGTTAGTAATATATTGCATCGTAGCTCTCGGTTTATTTTCTAATTTTGTTAAACACGATTCTTATCGTGACTATACGTAAAATATCACGTGCACACATCCGTACGGGGTAACGTCATATGATTTGGTATGTGTCCGTAGACTTGCCGAAAATTTAAATTTTAATTTAGTAATTATTTTCTATAAAATGAATAATTCAAGATTCGCAGTGTAATTTCTTCGAAAATTTCTGTTACTAAAACAATAGCTTTGAGATTAATTAACACGTTAAGGTTTAAATTTTCTACATGAACTATCGCTATTGATACATACTGGCGGCACAAACCAATAAAAATACGTAAAAATGTCGGGAAGACAAGTTTACATATAATCTTGACCCCAGCTCTAACCCTAACCTTTAAATTAACCTTTAACAATAATTTTTAACAATCACCTTTATTACCGTAGAATTTTCCGGACATACACAAATACCACATGATCTGACACTTTTTTTCGTCGTGGCTAGGGTTCTAGTTTTACATTCCATTACGTATATCGATACACATTATCGATCTTCCAAAAAAATTAATATGGGTCGAATTTGAATTTTTATGCTTTTTTTTACTCTGAATTATTCCATTCCTATGACTCCAAAATTCAAAACTCACTGTTTTTAAAATTTCTGAAGACATAAAAGCGATGATATTTCGGTTAAAATATTTTTGCGTCAAAAAAATGAGCCACAGTAATCAGTTTATTTCCGATATTTTCAAAATACAAAAATTGATAATTAAATACGAATATTACAGTTTGATCACATTATTTTTATATAATGGTGTTTTGGTTTAAATATTTGTGCATTTAAGGTGAAAATAATTTGGGCCGGTCAGCGTACATGTATTTCCAAAATATATTTTTCTTTAAAGTTTTACATTTTCACTCTTTCAAAATATTTACAAATATAAAAAGTAATAATACGTAGATGCCAATTTCTATCCCGGAATAAAGTAATTTTATTTAACATTATTATTAAGAACAATACAGTTTGTCAATTGGACTATTATCCAAATCATTTCTAATAGATGTAAAATAAACTCGTGAAAATTTTTTACTTAGTATAGAAAAATTGACAGCTTGCCTCGTTCAGTAAACATCTAAATGCAACAATAGATTCTATTTAATAAACTTCTTGAATAAGAAGTAAAGCCAAAATTTAATCCGTGAATATGATTACGAAAGGCCTATTCCTTATATTCATTAAATTTAATTTATTTCTTATTATTGAATTCATAGAATATAATCTATTGATGTTATTTCTTTCGACATCTATATTTTTAATTTGTTGATTTATTCATTTTCTCAGCACACGTGTTCTTTCTTGCATCACTAAAAGCTCAAATATATAAAATAGATCTACAAATTTATTTATTTGAACTACGGTTTGGTTTAACTGTTTACTAAATGTTTAACCCGCTTAACCAGTTAATCATTAACCGGCCGGTTCCAAACACCAGTGGTCTGAAGTATCCTACATTGATTTGTACTTATATTACATGTAGTATTTTTTCAATTCTTTGTAATACAGATGACATTAATGGACGATCTCCAGGTTTCGGATCCCAACATGCTTGGTAAAGCTTCACGTAATCATTTTCTGTTTCCGAATTTGGTGTTTCTCTTAGCCCATCTATTATCGACAACATAAACGCACCATCAAATTGCCTTCCTTCAAAGGCATA